GTGCTTCTCAGTACTGGGGAGCCGGGCACGCCGGTCGTGCGCCTCGTAGTCGGCGACAACAACTTGACCGCGCAGGAGGCGCGTGAAGCTTTCCAACGCCACACTGACGACGAGGCGTTATGGGAAGTCTTCGCCCCCCCGGCGGACCGCAAAGGCGACGACGTGGCAGTCTGCGGAGCAGTCGCGCGTTTCCAGCCCGTCGCTGTTGGCGCCTCCTACATGGACCGCGGCATGCGAAACGACGCACACGATGCTGTTGCGGTTGTGCTCACCGTCCCTGATGCTTCTCAGCCTGGGGAGACAAAGAGGCGGAAGATTGCATTCGGAGGGTTGCCTGACGCCGACGCCGGCTCAGAGACCGAGGTGGAGGGCTCCTCGGTGCACTGGTCCCGGTCCCCGAGCCCCGCTCTTGTGCATGCGCCGCTTTCACCGACGTCGCCGGCCGACGCCGCAGCCTGCGACGAGCCCGAGGATGAAGTTAGTCGGCGCGCGCATGAGCTGCGCGAGGAGTTGAGGGAGTATTGGGGCCAGAGGTATGACGCGGCCTACGACCCGAAACTCCTTCACCACCTCAGCCTCTTGCTGTTCAAGAAGAGGACGTCCACGCAGCCTGCGGACAAAGATCCAGCTGGTGCTTCTCAGCCTGGCTCGGACTGTGACGCCGCCTTCGCGTCGCAGGCGGAGACTGTTCGAGCCATTGTGTCTGTCCTTAAGGTTCGCCATGAGTTTCTGCGGAGCAAAAACATCGCCGACTTGCGGCGCGTCCTCACCGACGCTGAGCGCGGGGAACTCGTAAGACGTGTTCGCACAGAGTACGAGCAGTCCGAACACCAGCTGGCGCTACAGGAACGAGATGGCGAGAAGGGGAAAGCGAAAGGCAAGACTCCACCACGAGGTTCTAGCGGAACTTCTCAGCCTGCGGGAAAAGGCGAAAAGGGGAAAGCGAAAGGCAAGACTCCACCACAAGGTTTTCGCGGAGCTTCTCAGTCCGCGGGAAAAGGCGAGGAGGGGAAGGCGAAAGGCAAGACTCCACCACAAGGTGGCCAGCCCCAAGGGGCAGGCCAAGGGGGTCTCGCTAAGTTCCTCAGAGAGCAGAAGCGTAAGCGGTGGTGCCGGCATCTGCAACGTGTGTGCGGCACAAAACAGATCTGGGAGGTGCTGGCTTTCTCCGGCCGCTTCGACGTTGACATGCTCACCCGAGCCCTGCGCGCCGAACCCTGTGAGCCACTTGCGCGCGACGAAGTCATGAAGGAAGAGCGCCGCCGCCTCCACCACGACAAGGCTGAAGCGATCTCGCGCTGCAACGAGGGTGAGCGGCTCGCCCGCTATCGGCAAGAGCTCTTACGTGGCGGTGCTACTCAGCCTGCCGACCAGGGCCAGGAGGTTCCCACTCTCACGCGCAAGCAGTTGGACGTGCTTCGGAAGTGGGACAGCGGCGAGTTGCGAGTCAACCGGAACCAGGCGATTGTGGCGCCAGGACACGGCCGCCTCCGTACTGCGGGAGGGGATTACCTGGACATCGGCGGCAGCACGGGCGGTGGGTCTCGGCGCATCATCGACTCTTGGCAGCCGCCGGATTGGCGCGACTTCCTGCAAGACGAGCGGGAGAGGTGAGGTTTCCAAGCCCGCGTGCCCGCGGTGCTTCTCAGCCTGCGGTGCTTTTCGCTAGACTCTTTCTGCGGTGCTTTTCTGCGAGTTGTAGGACTCTTTTCAGCCTGCGGGTTTCTGCGAGTCTCAGCATGCGAGTTTTCAGCCTCCAGGTTTCGCAGGCTCTCCGCTTCGCACGCCGCTCCTCAGTTCCAAGACGTCTGCCAAAGTGCAGGCTTTTGCAGGCTGCCGCTTTTGCAGCCTGCCACCACAGCACAGCGTGCCGCTTTTGCAGACTTCCAAGACGTCTGCCAAAGTGCATGCTTTTGCAGGCTGCCGCTTTTGCAGCCTGCAACCACAGCTCAGCCTGCCGCTTTTGCAGGCTTCCAAGACGTCTGTCAAAGTGCAGGCTTTTGCAGGCTGCCGCTTTTGCAGCCTGCCACCACAGCTCAGCGTGCCGCTTTTGCAGACTTCCAAGACGTCTGCCAAAGTGCATGCTTTTGCATGTTTTTGCATGGACTCGCCCAGCACACCAGTAGAGACACAGGTCTTACGAGTCCCTGCACATAATACTTTGTGCACAATGTAGTCCTGCGAGTCCTACTGTCCTGCGAGTCTGTGATGCAACTGTGTAGTGTCAAGCTCTGTGCGTTGATAGCAGTGTGTGCGTTGATAGCAGTGTCTTGTTTGACCATGCATCTATTCAAGTTCCGTGTGTTGATAGCAGTGTCTCGTGAGGACGTACACCCATTCAAGCATCCGTGCGTTGATGCCAGTGTCTCGTTTGGACATGCATCCATTCGAGCTCCGTGCGTTGATAGCAGTGTTTCATTTGGAGGTACATCCATTCAAGCTTTGTGCGTTGATAACAGTGTCTCGTTTGGACATACACCCATTCGAGCTCCGTGCGATGATAGCAGTGTCTCGCTTGGACATACATCCATTCAAGTTCCGTGCGTTGATAGCAGTGTCTCGTTTGGACATACACCCCTCCAGCTATGCTTCTACATATCGATGTTAGGTTGCTTTGCCGGGATAATTTTGACCTTCAGAGCATTGTTGACCCTTCCAGCTATTGCAGCTTGTCGGACTGTGGTCACAACTGTTGTATTCTTCCGCCCCTCCAGTTGCCATCATCGTAGCTCTACGCCAATCAAGCACATAACCATTTCGCAAGTTCTTCTAACTCTTGCCGCTATACCCATATCGCTATCCACCCGACCATGGGACAACCGCGGGACGTCCTTAAGACGCCCGCCCAGAAAAACCGCGGGACAGCCGCACGTAACAACCGCACCACCTCGCTAGGCCTTATGGCCGGAAATTGCGCTGGAAAAGCAATGATGGTGAGGAGGATGAGGAGGAGTAGGAGGAGGAGGAGTAGGAGGAGAAGGAGGAGGAGGAAGAGGAGGAGGGGGAGGAGGACACAGGGGGAGGAGGGGGAATTGATGATGATGATGCTGCTGATGATGATGACGACGACGATGACGATGTCGATGACGATGACGACGACGACCACGATGATGATGATGCTGCTGATGATGATGATGATTATCATGATGGCGGCGACGATGGTGATGATGATGATGATGACGATGCTGCTGATGATGATGATGATGATGATGATGGCAATGATAATGATGAGGATGATGGCGATGATAATGATGTGGACGATGCTGATGGTGATGATGCTGATGCTGATGCCGATGCTGCTGCTGATGATGATGTTGATGATGATAAGGATGATGATGCTGACGACGATCATGATGCTGATGCTGATGATGATGCTGATGCTGATGCCGATGATGATGATGCTGTTGATGGTTATGGTGATGCTGGTGATACTGATAATGATGATACTGATTATGATGATCATGATGATGTTGATGTTGATGCTTCTGCTGTTGCTGGTGATGCTGATGACGACGGCGATGATGATGATGATGGTGATGATGATGATGATGATGATGATGATGATGATGATGATGATGATGATTCTGATGCTTGTGATGCTGATGATGCTGATGATGCTGATGATGATGAGGAGGAGCCATAATACTGAGATGCATACGGATACGGTTCATCCGAATATCATTGATTCTAAGAAGAAGATTATGCATAAGAAGGCGACGAATGACATCACGAACAATAATAATATTAATGAAGGCGATTGACAAGATGGTCAACAACAATACTGACAATGCTATTACTAATACAGACACGAATAATAGTGTTACGAATATACATACGTCGAAACTACTAAGAAGAGTCATGCTAATACGAATGCTACTAATTATATTTAATCGCTTCGCTCATTCCGCCGGCCCATACAGTCTCAGGTCTGCCGTTTGCCCGAGGGCCTGGTGTCAATGCGGCGCTTTGGGGGTTCCTGGGGCCGCTTGGGGGACTCCTGGGGCTCTCGGGGGGGCATTTTGGGGGCCTCCTGGGGCCGCTTGGGGGACTTTTGGGGGCCTCCTGAGGGCCTCGTGGGGGCCTCTTGGGGCCTCTTAGGGGCCTCTTGGGGCCTCGTAGGGGCTTCTTAGGGCCGAGGGCTCGAAATGTTGTTTCGTGTTCCCTCTCTGGGGCCCCTTTGGGGGCGTTCTTGGGGCCCTCTTGGACCGTCTTGGAGGCTTCTTGGGCCGTCTTCGAGCCCTCTTGGGCCATCTTGGGGCCCTCTTGGGGGCCTCTTGGGCCCTCTTGGGGCGATCTTGGGGGCCTCTTGGGCCGTCTTGGGGCGTCGGGAACCGAAAAGGTGGAAGCTCCAAAATCTCTCAAAAACCTAGGAAAAACAATGAATTTTGCCTCCGGGGGCCCTCTTGGGAGTGCTCTTGGAGGCCTCTTGGGGCGTCTGGGGGCTATCTTGGGCGTCTTGGAGCGATCTTGTGGCATGTCGGACCCCTCGTGTACCATCTTGGGGGCCTCGTGGGGGCCTCTTGGCCTTTCTTGGGGCTCTCGGGGACGTCTCGGAGCCCTGTTGGTGCGCTCATGGAGCGCTCCTGGAGCGCTCTGGGGGAGTCTCCCGGGGATCGGTCGGGGATCGCCCGGGGTACTTTTCGTCCGGGGACCCCCAGGGGCCGCCCCGCGCGCGCGAATTAGAGAATTGTTAATCAGTTACCGGAGATCTTAGCACGCCTCTGGCCCGTTGGGCCGGCGAATTAACGAGAAGAAAGATAATCGTACAACTATACTAATACTACTGATAATGGTAAGCAGACTACTAAGACTAATACAAATACTAAGAAGAATGCGAAGACTCTGAGTAATAGTAATAATAAGAAGAGTACTACTACGAATGCGAATAAGAAGATGTAGAAGGAGAGGAGGAGGCTGAGGAGGGAGGGGAAGGATGAGGAGAAGTGATTGGGGTAGCCCTCTGCTTCTTCGGGTCCGCCCCGAGCCCGCCGCCCGCCCAGGCGAGAGCGACAGCGGCGATGGGGAGGAGGAGGAGGAGGAGCCCCTGTCGGCCCCCGAGTGGGGGACGCCCATCACCCGTCGCCTGGGTCGGTCGGTCGGTCGGTAGTGGTCGTCGTTTGCCTTCCCTCCATCCGTCCTCACCTCCGTATGGGGGATGGGGGGGTGAGGAGGGAGGGGAGGGGCGAAAGGAACGAGGGATAACGAGGAGGGAGGAGTGGAGGATGATGATGACGATGAGCAGGAGGATGAAGATGAGGGCGGGAAGCGGGAGGCGGAGCAGGAGGAGGAGGAGAGGGAGGAGGAGGAGGAGGAGGAGGAGGAGGAGGAGGAGGAGGAGGAGGAGGAGGAGGAGGAGGAGAAAGAGGAACTGGGACGATAAGGGTGAGGAGGGGGAGGAGAAGGGGGGCCCAGAGTAAACCCAGGACACTGGTGCTGCAATGCACCTCCCTTCTCAAGTCCCCTCCCCAGAAGTCCCTACGGGCATTCTTTTTCACTGCGCGAAGCGCTGCGCCTGCTCGAAAGACGACCGTCCCAAGGTCCCGCAAGTCCGGCGGGAGCTCCTTTCAGAACAAGGAGTTGCCCTCCATCCTGCGAGCCATACAGTCGGCCCGGATTAGTAGGTCGACCCTGCCAGCTCAAGGGTACCCTTGCGTCCTGTGCCTCGCGACCCGTGCCTCCTGCATTCCTACGGCAGTGCGGCCCTCGGAAGGGTCCTGTGTCCTCTCGCGTGTCCTCTCCAGTGAAGTCCGACCTGTAAGCGGGGCCACAGCACTCCAGGACACCTCCAGCGACAGGCCCCGCGCCGGCACTGTGGCCGCCCCTGCTCGGCAACGCGCAGAGGGGGGTAGGGGGAGGGGGGAAGGCTTCTTAGAAGCACCCCTGCTTCTTAGAAGGCGCGGGCCTTCTCTATAGACGTAAGGCCGAGGCCTTCTAAGAAGCAGGGTGCTTCTAAGAAGCCTTCCCCCCTCCCCCTACCCCCTCTTGCGCGCCGCCAACCTGCGCCCGTGTGGCCGTTGCCCGTGGTGGGCTTTGTGGGAGGGGGGGGCCTCGGGCGAGGGTCCCGCCGTCGGCAGAGGCCGCCCGCCGTCCGCGCGGGGAGCGGTGGCGCAGTGGACGTTTCTGGACGTTCCTGGCCGTCAGCTGTGGCAAGGGGTCTCGAGACCGAAACCGATTTCCCGGTAGGGGGGGGCTCTCCGTTCCACTTCGATCTCACCCCCTCACCTCCGATGAGCAGAACACTTATGAGCAACTATAACGGCATCACCAGATAAGCCCAGAGCTAGGCCAAGAGGATATTTCAGACGTCCAAGCCAAAGTTTCTAAGCGTCTCGCATCGCCAGGCTTCGTGAGCCTCCCCAGCCCTTCCATTTTGTTTTTCCGACGGAATCGTCATTGCTCCTTGGAGCTCATGTTGCTTATCGTGTGATTATGAAGCTGAATTTTGCCTCTTTCGGGCCATTTGTCTGCACTGCCATCCTAAAATCAGCTTGCAACGGGTGGCCGAGCACGCGCATGTACAGGATGTGCACCTGGCCGTACCGATTTGGCTGCGGCCAGGAGGCGGGGAACAGGCTCGATCACTACTTTAGTTGCCCCCTCTTTGTCCCCCTCTTTTGCCGTCTTTTCCGTTTCCTCACCGCCTGCTATGTTCATTGGGATCTCTCGCGACGCATATTTGTACACGAATTGAGCTCTTTAGCGTTCAATGGACTACATGCTCGTTTCATTATACCTGATACCCTCCCATCTGTTTACAACAATCTCCAGGTACAAGACCGCCAGGGCCCAGAAGGGGCCGAGAGAATGTTCCAAGCTCGCGCCAGAGCGACCGCCAGGCGGTCCGCTCGCGCTCGTGCTGTGCTCTCGGGATAGTCTGGGGGCGCCTGCAGCTCTTCGACGGGGAAGGTTAGCCCCCGGGAGGAGAAGCGGATTCTGCCCTCGGACCGGCTCTCTCGAAGGCGGTGCCCTCCGCCGCCTCCTTTTCGTCCCCCTCCTCCGTTTTCTCCTCTTCCTCCTCCCTCCCTCCCCTTCCCGCCCCCGCCTCCCCTCCCCTCCCCTCCCCTCACCTTTCTCCCTCCCTCCCTCCCTCCCCTCCTTCTTCCTCTCCTCCTCAATCCCTGTTCCTTATAGATAGAAATTCCTCCCTGTCGCACCCCGAGGCTGGTCGAAAGGGCGGGTCGGGCGTTTCGCCTGAGACTTCCTCATCATGTATGATTCTGAGGCTTGCATTTAACAACAGTTTCAAGGATGGATGGCGACCCGCTTTCAAGATGTGATTCTCGCTTTCGTGCCGCGTGCGTTCGGTTTTAAGAAAATTGCAAGGGTTTCACGGATGGAGGGCGGTTCCTTTTCAAACTGTGGTTCTCGCCTGAGCGCCGCGCGCATTCGATAGTTGCAAGAGTTTCACGGATGGATGGTGCTTCTTTTTCAAAAGGTGGCTCTCGCCTTAGCGCCGTGCACATTCGTTTTGAGATCTTGCAGCCGTTTTTTGGATTCACGCGGCTTAGGGTGCCAGAAACTTTAATTTTGGCACGATGTTGGAATGTCAGGACGCAACAGTCACTTCGATTCGCGGTGTAAATCCCCAGGAAGTGTGTTCTGGTACTATTCAGGATCGTCAGGACGCAACAGTAACGGTGGTTCGCGGCGTTGAAGTCCCAAGGATGGTGTTCTGTCATAGTTCTGGATTCTCAAAATTGTCGAATTCCAACGAGGCGCGTCCCTCAGTGAAAATGAACCCTTGTTGGGGTCTATGAAGAGAGAGCTTTGAGAGAGGGTGTAGTGCAAAATCGTTACTGGATCTTAGGTTTACACTGGTCCTCCTCATCCTCTTCCTTTTCGTGCTTCTCCTCTTTCTCCTCCTCCTCCTCGTCCTCCTCCTTCTTCTCCTCCTCCTCATCATCCCCCTTCTCCTCCTCCTCCCTCCCCCCCTCCCTCCCTCCCGTCCCCTCCCCTGCCCTCCCCTCGCCTCCCGTCCCCTCCCCTCCCCTCGCCTCCCCTCGCCTCCCCTCCCCTCCCCTCCGTGTGTGAGGGCAGATGACATGACGTGTCAGGAATGTCATTCGTGACGCATCTTGGCCATACAGTCGGCCACGTTCGCAAACCACCCTTGTATGAGACCCTGGCACGTTTCTCATCCAATAGAATCGACGCATGGTTGCTGTATGTTTTCTTCAATGTGCTGGGCCGGCACGCCCGCTGAGGTTTCCAGCCAGACGCGGTAACGTGCACCACCTTGCGCTGGGAGCTAAGAGTAAACGCATGGTGAGCATCCCAGTGTCTAGGATTGCGCAGCTGGATATGGGAGTCAGCAGCGGTTTAGCATAGCCATGCGTTGGCTCTCCGGGGAATGCGGTGCGGCCCTACCCCTGCATGAACCTGGGTGCGGCAAATGCACTGCCACTCAATGTAGGTGTCCTCTGACATTTTGGCTCAAGTCTGAGGTGCTGGGAAACCAATGCTCCCTCCTACCTCTCATGGTTTCCTGGGCTGGCCGCAGTACTCGCAGAGGCCGCAGCCTGGCCTCAGTTACCAGCTCGTGGGAGTGTCGGCTTGCCGAGGCAGCCGAGTATCTCCTGAGAGCGGCCTTCGGGGTCCAACCGAGATTCCATTGGGGCCCCTTACTTCTGGTCTCACGAGCCGAGCTGGGAAACTATTTGCTTGCCGTTGCCGAGGGCTATCCAGAGGACGACTTTGAGTCCGATACTAGCGATGACGGATCATAGGATTGAATTTGCGCGCCCGTTCGCGGACCGGCAGCCGCCGACGTCCACAAGCCCTCCCCTCCCCTCTCCTCCCCTCGCCTCCCCTCCCCTCCCTCCGTTTCTCCCTCCCTCCTTCCCTCCCCTTCCTCCTCTCCCTCCACTCCCCCCCCTTTTCTACCCTCCACTCCCCTCCCCTCTCCTCTCTTCCCGTCCTCCCCCCTTCCTTCCTCCACCTCTCCTCCCTCCTCCCTCCTCCCTCTTTCTCTCCTCTCGCATCCTCCTCCATTTGCTCCCGCCCCTCCCTCCCTTCTCTCCTCTTCTCGTCCCGCCCCCCTTCCCTGCCTCCCTCCCCTCCTTCCCCCCCTCCCTCCTCCCCTCCCTCCCTTCCCTCCTCCCCCTCCCCTCTCCCTCTTTCCTCCTCCCTCCGCCTCTCACCTCTCCCTCTTTCCTCGTCCCTCTTTCCTCCTCCCTCTTTCCTCCTCCCCTCTCCCCCTTCCTCCTCTCCTCCCACGCCCTCCTCCTTTGGGCCCCCTCCTCCCTGGCTGGCACGAGGAGGGCGGGGAGAACGAGGAGCGGCTGCGGCCTGGCGACGAGGCGGGCGCCCGGCCCGCCGCGCGTTGGTGTTGTTGCTGTTGTTGTTGTTGTTGTTGTTGTTGAACATTATTTCTTCTTAAGAATAATTATTGTTGGGACCCCTGGTGCGCGACCCCCCCGCCGCGCCTAGGCCGCAGCCACATTTTCATCATTTTCGTGAGGAAGTCTCAGGCAAAACGATTGGTACCGGATCCGGTTTTTTGTTGACGCTCGTTTTCCCTTGCAAAAAACATAGAAAATGAAAATTCTTGTTCTTAGTTGATCAAATTGCAAGAATCCCTTGCAAAAAATAAGGTAAAGTGGACATTCGTGCGCGCAAGACGAAATCCTTCCAAAACCTTAGGTTTCGTAACGATTTTAACATAAAAACATCAAAAACCCAATGGTTTTTTAAGAAAAAATTGTCAAAATGTCCTTCCGCGCGCGCTGTCCGAATCCTACAAAACCAATGGTTTTTCAACATTTATGTTACATGATCTCGCGCGAGCTACTTTTTCTTGTTCTAACATAATCAAATTTCAATAATCCCTTGCAAAAAATAAGGTAAAGTGGACATTCGCGCGCGCAAGACGAAATCCTTCCAGAACCTTAGGTTTCGTAACGATTTCAACATAAAAACATCAAAAAGCCAATGGTTTTTCAAAAAAAAATGTCCAAATTTCATCCCGCGCGCGCTGTCCGACTCCCACAAAACCAATGGTTTTTCAACATTTATGTTACATAAGCTCGCGCGAGCTACTTTTTCTTGTTCTTACATAATCAAATTTCAACATCCCTTGCAAAAAAAAGTAAAGTGGACATTCGCGCGCGCAAGACCAACAAAAAACACGACGATCTCAGGAACTTGCCCCAAAAATGTGGCCAACTCCGCTCTCTCTGTCTCTCTCTCTGTCTGCTCTCTGTCTCTCTCTGTCTGTCTGTCTGTGTCATGTATTGTATGTCACAATTGCAGGATGCTGGGCACACGCGCGCCCCGAATAAGTGACCAAGTTCTGTGGGTGTGTACCCCACGCCAGTGTAGTAGCCACGGTCGTCCGCACGCCACGAAGTGAAGTGTCCCAACGTCATAGGGCGGGAAGCTGGGTTTGGGTGGTCGCGAAGAGTCGTTTGGATATTTGGTAGAGCTTGAACTGCCCCCCCACGAAGTGGGGGTATTGTCTCGCGTCGCATGAAAACCCTGGCACTGGTGAGAACACTGAGCGTTCGGGTAAAATGATTGTTGTTGTTGTTGTTGTTGTTGTTGTTGTTGTGTTGTTGTTGTCGTGGTGTTGTTGTTGTGGTGTTGCTGTTGCTGTGTTGTTGCTGTTGCTGTGGTTGTGGTTGTGTGTTGTTTTGTTGTTGTTGTTGTTTTGTTGTTTTGTTGTTGAACTCTCATTTCTGAAGAATAATTATTGTTGATCCCCCCTGTCCAGTGCCCATTGTTGTTGTTGGTGGTGGTGGTGGTGGTGGCGGTGGTGGTGGCGGTGACGGGTTGCAGCAGCAACAGCAGCAGCAGCAGCAGCACCACATTAGTAGGTAGTAGGTAGTAGGTAGTAAGTAGTAGTAGTAGTAGTAGTAGTAGTAGTAGTAGTAGTAGTAGTAGTAGTAGTAGTAGTGGTGGTGGTACCAGCAGTAGTAGTAGTAGTAGTAGTATAGTAGTAGTAGTAGTAGTAGTAGTAGTAGTAGTAGTAGTATAGTAGTGTAGTAGTAGTAGTATAGTAGTAAGTATCGTAGGCAGTAGACAGTGCTGGAAGTAGTAAGTGGTTAAGTAGTAAGTAGTAAGTAGTATAGTAGTAGTAGTATTAGTAGTAGTAGTAGTCGTAGTAAGTAGTGTTAGTATAGTAGTCAGTAGTAGTAGTAGGACTATGAGTGGAGTATAGTAGTATAGTTAGGCGTAGGAGTAATAGTAGTATTTGTTAGTATTAATTACACTTATTATTATTTTTATTAGTAGTAGTAGGCAGTTTAGAGTATAGAGTAAGTAAGTAGTAGTAGTAAGTAGTAGTGTAAGTAGTAGTAAGTAGTAGTGGTGTAGTTAGTAGTAGTAGTAAGTAAGTAAGTAAGTAGTAGCAGTAGCAGCAGCAGTAGTATTAGTAGTAGTAGTAGTAGTATAGGAGTAGAGTAGTAGTCGTAGTAGGAGTATAGTAGTAGTCAGTAGTCGTAGTAGTAATAGTAGTAATAGTAGTAGGAGTAGTAGTGTAAGTATTAGTAGTAGTAGTAGTGAAGTAGTAGTAAAATATAATAGTATAGTAGTAGTAGTAGTTAGTAGTAGTAGATAGTAGTAGTATAGTATAGTAGTAAGTATTATAGTAGTAGTAGTAGTAGTAGGAGTAGGATTAAGGAGTAGTAGTCGTAGTCCCGTAGTAGTAGTCGTAGTCGTCAGTCGTAGTCGTAGCGAGTAGTAGTCTAGTAGTAGTAGGTAGTAGTAGTAGTAGTAGTAGTAGTAGTAGTAGTAGTAGTAGTAGTAGTAGTAGTAGTAGTAGTAGTAGTACTAGTAGTAGTAGTAGTAGTAGCAGCAAGAAACCGATTGTATCTGCCGGACAATGTCATCAAGGCGGCCTCGCCAGGATACTCTACGAGCTCGGCCCGTGCTACGGCGCCTACGTCGTCCGCGCCACCGAGCGGTCCATGCAGGGGCCCGAGCTCGATCCTGATCTTTACCTCGCGCTGAAGAAGCGCGTTGCATGCCAGAAGACCCCAGAGAAGCGCCGGACGGCCGGCGAGATGCCGGCGCAGTTCGTGACCCAGTGCAGGGACGGCGCGCAAGACGCCCTGCAGAGCAGGTCCTACGGCCTGAGGCAGACCGGGCAGGAGCCGAGAGGCGAGCGCCTGCTCTCCGCACCAGCATCCGAGCAGCAGCAGCAGCATAAGTCCGTGACGTCCCTGGACCCAACAGCGGGGGGGGCATCAAAGTGGTCGCCCATATGGTCGCCCCTATGGTCGCCCGAATGGTCGCCAAAAACCGATATGGTAACCCATATGGTCGCCCAAACGGTCGCCAAAAATCGCTTTTTAGAAATATGGTAACCCCAATGGTCGCCCAAAAGGTCGCCGCGAAACGGGTAACCATTCTATGTGGTCGACCATATGGTAAATCAAAATCGCTCGGGAAACGCGCGGCGGTCTCTGCGGGCACGTGCGCACTGTATAGCACAGCATAGCATTACTACTGTTCGTGTGTGGGGATATGGGGTATGAGTATTTGGCAATCCTCAGACGAGTTCCAAACAGGCTTCAAACGTGCTTCACACGAGCCTCGCACAAGCCTCAAACAGGTCTCGCACAAGCCCCGAACAAGTCTCAAACAAGTCTCAAACAAGTTTCAAACAGGTCCCATACAAGTCTCAAACAGGTCTCGCACAAGGCTCACGCAAGTCCCAAACAAGTCTCAAACAGGTCTCTCACAGGTCTCCAACAAAGCGCAATCAAGTTTCAAACACGTCCAAAACAAGTATCAATCAAGTCCCGAACATGTTTCGAAGAAGCTTGGACCCAGCTCCAATCAAGCCTCGTACACACTCCAAACAAGTCTCACATGCGTTGGGCATTCCTTGAGATTGTATATTAGTGGCGCTTCGCGCACCCCCGCCACCACCAGCTCCTCCGAACGCGACCGCCAGACGAGACGCCCAGAGAGGGCGGGAAGAGAAAACATAAGGCAACCCAATGTCTGTTGTATCAACTACAAAAAGCTCTATTGCACAAGTGGTGCTGTGCCGTGCCCTGCTCACATGTCGTAGCATAGCGCATAGCATAGCATTGCTTACATTGCGTTGCGTTGCGTAATCGTGCAAACCACGATAGACATTACATTACGTATCACTGCATTGCAGAGCAGTGTGCCCCATTGCCTAACACAGCGCGCGTTAAGCATCCTGCATGTTAGAAGCACGCATTGCATTGCACTCTACTTTCAACTCTTATCACTCACGTCCGCATCCATTTTTGTTCACGCATGCTTCGGTCCATATTGATACCGAACGGTTGTGTGAGGTCAATGGCTTCTTCAGATGGCAAAGAATATGTTACAGTTGATTTCTCTCAGTATCCTGTGCTCAAACTCGACCTGAAGGAACTTCCCATCGGGTACAACAAGAATGTGGTTCTCGAGATCCCTATTGGTTTGCAGACTCGGGGCAGGGCACACGACCCTACCCAAGAACAGCGTGCTTTCCTCAAACGGCTGCGTGACGACTCCGACCATGCTGAAGCCAAAGATGGAGTCAGCGCCGTGAAAGAAGCACGCACCCAGGGCAATGCAGTTGACAAGTCGTGTGATGTGGAGATAATCTCGTCACAGGAGCGTGAGTCTCAGGCAGCTCTTCCAGATGATGGTGCTGCTGCTTCCTCTTCCAAGCAGCCGCCAGCTCCACACGTGACGCCGGTGGCGATAGGGCAAGTGGTGATCGGTCATACTCCTACGGTGGCAAAGGCCTCGGGTACGCAAGACGCGATTGCCACCCAGACTCTTCGTGATGACACTCTCAGTCGTGCACTTAATTTTGGCGTGCAGCAGAGTCAGCCTGCTGTGAGCGAGCATCTTCAGAATCTTCCTCATGAGTGCGAGCCTGATGGCACTCAGCCTCCGTGGGACGGTTTAGACCACGCGTCCCAGCCTCTCTTCGGCGATATTATTAGTGAGTTCGCTGCGCCTTTGGATTTGTCTGGAGCGTTGACGTTCCCGACTCGTTGTGCCCCTAGGCGTGCACAAGTGTGAGACTCGACTTTCCGAGTCGTTCTTCATTAAAATGTTGAAAATGGTGTGGAAGATGTTGGCATTGCGTGGCAGCAGTCTCAAAAAGGTACCAAACAGGACCCTGACAGGTTTCAAGCAAGGCTCCAACATGTTTCAAGCAAGTCCCAAGCGCGTGTCAAACAGGTCCCAAACGAGTCTCAAACAAGTCCCAGACAGGCCTCAAACAAGTCTCAAACAAGTATCAACTATATCTTAAACATGTCTCAAGTAAGTCTCTAAGCAGCGTCCAACACTTCTCAAACAAGTCTCAACTGCGTTGGGCACT